ACAATATTTTATTACCCGTAATATTCCTCATTTTATTTATATTATTATATATATCCAAACCCTAATATTTCCGATCCTCATCCCGCCACCTGCTATTTCCTGTAGCCTATCCTGTGCCCACTCCGACCAGCTCCGCAGTTAGTTCCGCCACAGGATCTGGCACACGAGCTTCAGCACAATAAAAACTCCCCACTCGCTAGCCGCGCAAACCCCAATCGAAACCCTCGGAATTCGCCGGCGAGATGCTATCCACCGGAGCGATCTACGGCCATGGGGAAGTTCAGAAGAGCAATATCAAGGAGGCGATTCGAAGGAGGGAGGAGAAGGAGAAAGAGATCTCGACGGCCAAGATTCATCCACCTTCATCTTCTTCTTCGCCGGCGAGAAGATCCCGTATTCTTTCTGCCTTCCTGTGTTTATAAATGGTTTTGATTGTCTTCCTCTTGATTTTAGCTTGTGGGCATTTCGTCGAATGGCTTTGCATCATTTCTGTAGATCGGAGATGGATCAAAAAGCAGTTTTTCGCATCAAGTTTTGATCAAGTTTTTTTTTTTTTTTTTTTTTTTGGATTGAGTTTTGATATATAAAAATAAGAAAAATACAATTTTTAAATGATTTTATGATAAAATAATAAATCAATAAAATAGTGATTTTAGATAATTACAACTTACACCCTTCAATTTTGCTATGTGCTGTTTGCAGCCAGTTTTTTTTTTTCTTTCTTTTTGTATTTACATACATACCACCCATGCTTATATGTATTTATATATACAACACTTAAATCTTACTTTTTTACATTTATACCATTCAAGTCTTACACATGATATCAATAATATAGCTATTTTAATTTTTAAAAGTTAACATCCAACTTTTCATTCATAAATTAGAGAGAGAGTGTGTGTGTGGGCGTGCGTGTGTAAATATATATATATATATATATATACCTAAAATTTAATTTTTTACATTAGCCAATAAGTTAAGTCACCTTAATTAAAAAAAAATAGAGTTCTAAAAAATTCCTAATTTATTTTATTTTTTCATTTAATATGAAATAAATAGACAATTCGAATTTAAAATTAAAATTAAATGGAAAATACGAGTTCGGGCTTTTTTTTTTTTTGAATTTTAATATTTGAGTGAGA